GGGTCTGGTCTCTCCGGGCACCGCTGCCCTCACCGCGCCGCAGACGGGACCCTCCGCGTGTCCTTCATGGGAGGGGACCGTGGCACAAGCCCCGCGTGGACACCGTGGTCCACGGGCGCGACAGAACCTCGTCCCGAGGCGGTTTGTGGGGGGTCGCAGGTCTGCGTGGCCGGTTCCGGCTGCCCTGGCCGGGGGTAGGGAGGGAGCCAGTCCCTGCTGCTGTCAGGAGAGAGACCTCCACCAGCGGCTGCTTCCAAAACCCTCCTGCCTTCGCCAGAGCCAGGGCGAGGCGACTTTGGGAGCAAGTCCCGGTCCCTGGGGACCCTCGACGGGGGCGGGGACAGGAAAAGCAGGTGGGGGCTGTGCCGCAGGTCGCAGTTCTGACTCTCCACACCTCTCAGGGCCCCAGGCCCGCCCTGCACACCCCTAGGATCTGGGAAAGGAAAGGCCTCTCCTGCTTTGGATCTTTTGAACATAAAGTTGCGCTGCCGTTTCCTGAAGAGGCTGCTCACAAACTTTAATCATTGTTATGTCAGTTATTCACTTCTGGGCTCGCGATGTCGCTGACAGTACAGTGAAGCCCTCGTGAAAACACTTAAACATGCCGAAGCTGTCCCCGAGGCTGCTTGCTTCTGGATGAAGGGCCCTGGTGGCACAGGGGCAGGCGGAGGAAAGTGCAGAGAGGGATTTGCTGGGGAATTTCCAGCCCAATCCCTACTGTGGGAAATGGAAGAATGAGGCTGGTTCCACCTTGCTTTATTTTATTTTATTTTTCGAGATGGAGTCTTGCTCTGGTGCCCAGGCTGGAGTGCAATGGCACAGTCTCGGCTCACTGCAACCTCCACCTCCCAAATTCAAGCAAATCTCCTGCCTCAGCCTCCCAAGTAGCTGGGACTACAGGCACCTGCCATCACGCCCGGATATTTTTTGTATTTTTAGTACAGATGGGGTTTCACCATGTTGGCCAGGCTGGTCTTGAACTTCTAACCTCATGATTCACCCACCTCGGCCCCCCAAAGTGCTGGCATTACAGGCATGAGCCACCGCGCCCAGCCGCAGCCTGCTTCCTTAAATCCAGGAACGGGGCTGTAATAAGCCCAACGGGCTCAGCTCCAAGGCCCCCTTCCTGGCTGCTCTCTGGTCACTGCCAAGAGGGGTCCTTTGGGTACAGAGGCACTGACCTCCCTGTGTTCCCGGGGTTCCTTTCCGAGCCTGTGCTCTGCACATGGGCAGCCTGGTTCCCACGTGCCCCTTCCCACGTGTTCCTTCCGTGGGTTAATTTAGGAGTTAATCCATGAAGAAGTGCCCAGAGCTTGGCCCAGCCCCCAGTGAGAGGCATAAGTTTTAATCTTTCCCCTCCAGGACAGCGGTCTTGTCGGTCTTCTCTTTGGTGGTGTATTGGATGAAGTAGGTCCTCAGCAAATGGAGGAGGAGGTGCGTGCTCCATATTTGCAAAGTCCACACACACAGTGTGGCCAGCGTTCCATCCCAGCCTCAAGACACTGCCCGGCCCTGCCTGGCTTTCATTCCTGAGCTTTGGAACTAAGCAGTGAGAGTGGTTCATGGTTGCAATCCCTTCAATATCTGTGAAGATCTTATCTGAGAATATCTTTTTTTTTTTTGAGACGGGGTCTCGCTCTGTCGCCCAGGCTGGAGCGCAGTGGTGCGATCTCCACTCACTGCAAGCTCCGCCTCCCAGGTTCATGCCATTCTCCTGCCTCAGCCTCCTGTGTAGCTGGGACTACAGGCACCCACCACCGCGCCCGGCTAATTTTTGTATTTTTAGTAGAGACGGGGTTTCACCATGTTAGCCAGGATGGTCTTGATCTCCTGATCTCGTGATCTGCCCGTCTCAGCCTCCCAAAGTGCTGGGATTACAGGTGTGAGCCACCGCGCCTGGCCTTCTTCTTTTTCTTTTAAGGTCTTGCTCTGTAGCCCAGCCTGGAGTGCAGTGGCACGATCTCAGCTCACTGTAGCCTCCACCTCCTGGGTTCACGGGATCCTTCCACCTCAGCTTCTGGAGGAACTGAGACCACAGAGGCACGTCACTGTACCCAAATAATTTTCTATTTTTTGTAGAGATGGGGTCTCACTATGTTTTCCAGGCTGGTCTCAAACTCCTGGCCTCAGGGAATCCTCCCCCTTGGCCTCCCAAAGTGCTGGGATTGCAGGTGTGAGCCTCCTTATCCATGATGAACTTTTGCTAGAAAATTGTGCTGTTGTGTGTATGTCAGTTGAAGCTGGGCGGGCATCTTAGCCAAATATTTGGTGGTTTGGTGACATCAAATTGTCTCCTCTTCCTTCAGTC